TCTCTCTCTCTCTCTCAACTTCCTGCACTCCTCAAAGACACGTACAAGCTTGAAAGAAAATCGCTGGATTTACAGGCGCTTAGCCAGCGTCTGTGGCCTGTGATGTAGCCGTTAGGCGCCTCGCCGGTGCACAACGCTTTGTATGACCCAAGTTCGATTCCTATGATGTGAGAATTTGTATCGAGTGCATTTATCTCAGTCTTTCTGCTGGGACATTGTATCCCTCTCGGCCCGGGTTGACCCTGACAAGCTAAGCCTGCCTCCTAAATGGTCTAAAGTGTGTCCCCGTGGTTTTATGCACCCCGCATAATTTAACCAAATTTGATCATTTTTTGCATAATTTCTGATTATTTTCCTTTATCATTCTTTGCTGAAATTAACAGAATCGCTTAATTTCACATTTTTTTAGGCTCAGTTAGGCATAATTTCAGATTTTTAAATTATTTTTTTTTGTTTCATTAAACCGCGGGGACAGTAAAGTGTGTTGATCTGAGGAATTGGGGGGGGGGTAAAAACAGCTGCATTAATAAAAGATCAACACGAGACGGGGTGATGGCGCGTAACCGTCCAAGTGGAAGCTAAAGCTGTCAGGCGCCTGATTTTTTCTAATTTTATTATTTTGAAAATCCTTGCGTTGTTTCGGTCGGTGACGTCTTGATTTTTTTGGAATTTTTTCAGAAGCTCTTCCGACTAACATTACTTCAAGCCAGCGGTTCTGCTTCCGAAAGATCGATCCGATCATACCACCAGAAGTTAAAAATATAATTCTCGAGCGTTTGATTCGATAACAGCGGCTTGCTTGGAATAAGTGTGATGGCAGAACTGGGGGGGATAATGATGATGGTGATGATGATGATGATAGACAGGCGGGCGTAATGATTCAGAAACGAGCGAGCGTGTCTTCGTCTTCGATCTGTGACCTGCCGGTAGCAGACGGGTAAACTGCATAATTTGCCACCACCACCACCACCACAGTGTTCGATGGATTTTCCTCCCTCCCTCTCCCCCTTTCCGCGTCCTCTCGTTCTTTTGCAACAGTTTATATTATTGAACTTCGTTCGCTCGCTCGCTTCTGCTGCAGGCAGGCAGGCAGGTCCGCTCTTGTTGTAACAACCAGCGAGCCTACAAATTTCAGGTAGGCCGCGGTGTACAGTAATTCAATAACATTGTGTATAATATAATACATATATCGTGCGTTGGCTTTGCAGACGATATATACCCGCTGACGCTGTCACGGCCAGGCGAGATAGATCAATGGATCTCTGCTGAGATCTGCATGGTGGTAATCACACGGAGCACCCGCCCGACAGCGTATCGACTGCACTTTTTGGTTGGCTTTATTTTCCTTTGTGTTTACTTTCCACCACCACCACCACCACACCACCACCACCCCCCTCCCCCATTCCTCATATTTCCTTTCTCATTCATTCTGTTTCTCTCTCTTTTTACCCCCACCCTCTCTTCTTCTCTTTCTTTCTCTTTCTCTCTTC